AATATATATATATATATATATATATATATATAATGATATAAAATAAAATGTTGAACTTTTTGGGTTAATAACCTATAAAATAATAAAACATTATTAAATCTATTCTTAGAAGTGACAACATCACGAGGACACGCTGGCCTAGTAGAGTTCTCGTGCCCTGATTTATGTCTCCCCCACTCCCCCAATTGCACATGAGATTCACGTGAGGAATGATCATAAAATACATCTTCCTTGACCTGCAAATTATGTGGCGCCCATTACCTAAAGTATGTAATGACAATAAGATCGCTTAATACGATGGAAGGATCGCCGCTTCTTTCTCGATGCTGTTCTGCGACTCCGCTTCCATGTTCCTTGGCGAGCGGCTGCGGCAGAATGAGAGCAGTGCTGCAGGTTATGCCTGCAAAACTCTACTGCCAGTGGAAGCAGGACTGCAGCCGTACTCCCGAGGATGGAGCACTTCACATATGAAGCAGGCCATTCTCTCTACGAAGCAGAGAGGGGAGTGGCGACGACCTTGCTCGAGGTCTCCATGAACGCTGAGCTCGAGCAAGTGTGCTCGGGTCAAAAAGGTCATCAACTTTGGAGGTCAGCTGCTTGAGTTTGGAAGAGTGGTTGTCCCCTCAAGTTCCATGCCCAATGGCAGAAGTCTATACCATGCAACCTAATAAACCTGACTATAAGAAGATGATCAGAGAAAAAGCCTTTAGTTGATTAAGGTTTTGGAAGGTTCTTAGAGTGCATGTCCAAATGTGAAAATGAAGAGTTGCAACAACCAATATTCCTCATTTGATTAAGCTTCTCTTGCTTCTGTGACAGCACATAAGAGCATAGCTTTAGTATTTAGTCCCACAAAGATACAACTCCGTCTTCATAACATGATTGCTTCTGTTTGAGCATCAGATTGACTCCTTAAGGGCCCTCCTTTGTCTATTTTTCTTTGTGCTCCCCTCCTTCACCATCCATTTGTATAATATTCTTTTCATTTATTTATCATGTATCATGGTGTTAAACTGGAAGCCTTAATATTGCTGCAGTTGCACTTACGCTATGATACATAGTCATGGTGGGGAAGCTGATGATTTGATGGTCCATCAAGTCTCAACATCATAATTAATCCAATGATACTACTGCTTTTTTAGCAGAAAATTTTATCAAGTCCACACTTCTCTGTCATTATGTTAAACATTCCGCTAATAAAAGCTATGGATAGACAGGTGAAAACCTAAGCAAGACATGAAAAGAGTTCTTAAGGTGGACTTGCAGTTTGGAGTTCCTAATAAGATATTCAAATAAATTCAGTAATTGCAGAACTCAGCAAACACATTCTCAGCAATCAGTACTCTCAACAACCAACCACTCTTCCAGAGTTCTCGATTCAGCAGAAGCTCCCATTAACACATAATCATAATTATCTTTCCTCCAAAGAGAACAATAGATTTCAGGAACTTTGGATGTTATCATCATCTAATTCTTTAGCATCACAAGTTCCAAACCAACTGCATGAGCAAGCAGGTAGTTAATGTTTCAGCTAGCTTATCTATGTCAATCTGCACTTTATCCTGTGACAAAACACTATTCCCACTGTGATATCACAGAACTTTATGTAATGAGCATGCAACCAAGTGATGGATTGACCAACAAAAAGGAGGGTTTGGTAGTGGTCCAACTGAGCCTTTCTCCTAAATAAAAACTTCACTAATGGATGACATGATGTGCTACTGTCCAAGGAACTAACACCACATGAAACAGCCAAACTTTGCCCGTTCATGCTTTAAAGAATTTAAATTGAGTGCTTATGCAGAATGGAAAGAGAGTTGCAGTAATTTGCGTCCTGGTTTAAGTGAACTCTGATCACATTACCTCAGAATAACTTGCACACTGGTTTAATCTTCTTCCCATCAGTTTTGGCTGGATGAGAATGACTAGATATGCTTCCTGTTATTATCCAGAGTTCATAAGCTTCACAGAATTGACTGCGTTACCAGAGAGAAGATTGTGGAAGGGGGAGATCAACATCGGTTCATGGATTCAAGACCTCCTGACCGATGCATCATGTGATGTGACTCCAGTCATCGTTGAAGTCTTGCCAAAACAAGCAATTCATGCAGTTGATGCAAGCGCTGTAATACAGGGGGAGTACATTACCCCTTCCCTCATCTCCGGATCTCCTTCACTGAGACATTGATGTCTGGTACCCAGTCTTCACTATTCACTGTTCATCATGATGTTGTCACAGTTCTCTTGTGGTCGAGAAACAGGGACATCAGCAATCTGAAAGTGACATGTATGCATTGTACCTCCATTAACTGTTCATGCAGAATTCTGTCTTTTTCTTTCAAATTTCTGCTGATACTTCCAAAATATGCACTTATGCTTTAGGATCAAGTCATCACTCCTCTTTGCCTGCCTTCATGATTCATGTCGAAGAAATCTATTCTTGCACTAGTATCAGCCCCCTTTGCTCGGAATATTACAGTCAAAACAGCCATTCCTGGACGTTCATGAAATATGACATAGCTTCGTCTGTAGGTTGCCATGTCAATTCCTGGTCATCTCAAACTGCCTTCAATCTGGTGGCACTGCCTGATGTTGAAGTCTTGGATCCACAGTTGGCTTAAATTATTGCAGTACTGCGACTTGGAAACCGAAAAGTGTGATGAAGAGGATCCAAGCAGAAGCAGCATCAGAATTTTTGGCCTCCCCATAGAAGTTGTTGGTATCTTCTGTTTGACACCCATTTAATTCATTGTCTGCTACCAGCAAATTGTACTGTCTTCACAAATAAGGGCCATCAAACTAAAACATTTGTGATTATCTAAGGGACAAAATAACCATTGCCATACTGATTAAATTCATTTGTGGTTTATTCTAAGATAGATTAACTTCAATGACATGTACAAGTTTGACTTATATTTAGAGGGACAGGTAAAATCACTGACTTCAAAAGCATCAATATATATACACACAATTCTGTCAAAAAAGAAACGAGGGCTTGAACATTAACTTCAGTAAACGAGGATCTAATTGGTTCATCAAATTAGATCATGGTGTGTGACCTCCTGTTTATTTCCACTCTGCACAGTAGCTAGCATTATACATGCAGACTTGTATGGAGAGTAATATATAAGCATCATGACCAATGAAAAGTTGAAGACAGTCACCAGACACTGATTAATATCCTTCAGTACTATATACCAATCCAAACAGCATGAAGTAAACAAAGGAGAAGAAACAAAAGGACATCATAGAGAACAGATTTAGCCACATCAAGGAGTTTCTCTCGTTAACTATTTACCTCTCGAGAAGTCGACAACAATAAACTGCTAACAAATTAACTCCAGACAGACCTCTCCAGTAGGATGGGAGCCAAAAGTCTATATGTTCAACTGACCCAATACATCAAAAGAAAATTTCTCAAGCTACCAGAGAACTAAACAAGTGTTCCTCTCTGAAGGGGCCACAAGAACTGACAGCTAATTGATGAAAACAAAGCCTACATGCCAAAAGAAATGTGATCTAATGCATTTTGACATAACATTTTACCTAGTAAACCACAACATGGCATTGTTTGTTCTTCTTTAGGCATGAAAGCTTAGCATTCCAACTCTCTCCTCCATAACTCTCTTTACGAATATTGAATTCCAGGTTTCATCCCTTTCAAACGACAAAAGGACATTCAGGCACCTCCATGTAAAACTTTGAAGATTTCATCACTGTCTTCAATCTTGTCCTGGACTTACATCTTTACTCCAATCTTGTTCTTCTGTTCCCTAATAAGGGCCTTATTACACCTAAAGTTTCATGGGCACTGGTAAAGCCCATATGAATGAGCTAATCCCAGTTGCCCCAGTCTATTAGCATTCTCAAGTTCAAAGGAAACTGGGATTTTACTTCTGGCAGCTTGTTGGACAGACAAAGATATCAACTCGCCTGATATTGTTGATGAATGTCTGCTTTTTAAGTTTACATATGACAATCAAATCCATAACATATTGTCAAACTCAGGATTATTACGATCCTTAATACAACAAATCAAGGTTATTGTTAGAACAAATCAAGCTGCATGCATATCATAAATTCTTTCATGATAGGTAAAGTTCCATGTAAAGTTGAAACCACTTCTAACCATAGTATTGCAAGAAGAAAAGCGAGAAAAAAACAGAATTCTAGCTTCTTTGCAAAATGCAGATAGAGAAGCTAATTCCAATAGTCTAATTGTTCTGAAGATTAGATAGGGTGTTTAAAGATCAAAGAGGCCAATTAATCCTGTGTGTCATATAAGGTAACGACATTCAAGAAGAGATTTCTGAAGGGGCAATAGGACACTTTCGTTATAGCTCAAGATAGGACAGGGCAATACAGGTACACTTTGCTGCATTATAAAGAAATCTAAAAGGTTTAGATTTTAGATATATTTATGAGAGCTTAAGTTTTTAGGATATATTTCGCACAAATATATCCTATATCACCAATATGGTACCACATAAAAAACTTATATACATTTCATACCAAGTGCACCAAGGATTAGTGCAAGAACTATTTTGTTCTGAAACTATCAAATTACAAGAACTGACCCATAGGATGAAGATAAAGAGATCTTCCATTCCAACAAAGTTCTCATTATGTTGGGAAGACATGGATAGAAGACATAAATTGACCAACATATTCATGAGTGATGCTTTATGACCTTTACATACATTAAACCCTAACACAAGCCCTAAACTTGATCATTTCTAGGGTTCTGCAAGCTGCCAAAAAGAGGACGATATCC